GTCGGCGGTTAGTTAAATGAATGATGGCTATGGATGTCCAATGATGGCCTCCTCCTTTGATGATCCAAGTCTTCTTTAATAAAAATTCAAAAGGTGTCTTGGTTTCTCTTCAAAATGTGTCTCTATTCAATGAATCTTCTATAAGTTTTTCCTTTCAAAAGCCAATTAAATGAATTTTCTGGATTATTTCCCATGTTTTTACCAAGGGTTGCTTCAAACACCTCTTCAAAAATTCATCTAAATTCAATGAATCATCAAATAACTACTTCTGACGCTTATTCGCGGGACACCTCGCACTTAGGTGCGGCTCTCTAGTGCATAGGCGCCAATGCTAGGCGCTTAAGCACACCAGTTCATTTTTGCTCCAAATTTGACATTTCTTCACTTATTTTAGCATTTTTCATCCATTTGATTGTACCTGAAAGAAAAACTCACAATTATCTTTCATTAAAGTGCAATTTATCAAAAATAAGTGTAAAAATGTGTATAAAAATAATATATATTCTAGGTGTATCACACTTCTATTTCTTCTTTCTTTACTACTGCAGTTTCTTTTATTTTGAGTACTATTATTTTTATTGTTTCAAATGTTGTGGTTCCTTCTATTTTGAACATTGTTATTTCTGATGTTATTTCAAATATTGTGGTCCCTTTTATTTCTAAGTTTGTTATTACTAAGCCTTTTAATCTTAATGTTCTTGTGATTATTGGTGAGAATAATTTAGATTTAGAGGAAGAGGATAGAGAAATTCTTACTAGCAACGATTTGATTCCTAGTACTTTACATGGTGATTGTCTCGATCAGGAATCTTCTATGGTTAATGTCTCCAATATTCTTAATCAAGAAAATTTGCATTTTGTTAATGTTGTTGATAATTCTTATGTGATTGCTTCAGAGAATTTGCTAATTAACAGCAATATTGCTGTTAGAAACTTTTTTGGATAGCTCTACCCCTTCTCAAAATCATGGAAGAGGAAATATAGTGGGTAATTTTTCTTTTTATTCAAGTATTCCTAGTGTTACTACTAATTTCTATTTTGTTGGTCATTCCATGTTTCTTATTCCTAGACTTAGAAAAGGAAAGCCAAAAGGGGTTGTTTCATCACATTAAGTTTTATTTTCTTTTTCTGTATCTTTCACGTTTTGTTCAAATATTTTGAGTTGGAATGTTAGATGTCCTAATAATGATGTATGTTTTTTTTTGTTTTTTGGAATCTTATTAAGAATTTAAACTTGGATCTTATTTGCTTATTAGAAACTAAAATCTCTTTGGCTACATTTTTTTATCATTTTCTTTCAAATAATATTAATTTTTTCCTTTTTTAGAAAAGTACTAAAAATTTTTATTTGGTTGATTATGGTAGAATTTGGTTAATATGGAATACTTCTATCATCAATATACTATTTTGGACATTCAAACTCAATTTATTCTTGGTGTTATATCCTATTCTTTTTTTATTAATTTTTTTGTTACTTTTATGTATTGTGATAATAGTAACTTAAGGAAAAAAGATGGAAGGAATTCTCTTGTTGCTCTTGTCCTTAATATTCATGACCTTTAGATTGTTTTTGAGGATTTTAATAATTTCACTAGAAGTCTTAAAGAGAAAATAGGTGGTTCTCCTCTGATCTTTAGTAAACTTGTGGAATTTAATAACTTTATTTTTAGTTCTAGTCTTATTGATCTCCTTGTTTTGTATGTTTTTGTATAAAAATTATTGGAGTTTCTTTAATAATTTTACTTCTATTGTAGCTTCAACTTGGGTATTAAAGCAAAGGGTGATCCTAATTTTACTATTTGTAAAAGTTAAAATTACTAAAATTGAATTGAAATATTATATTTGGAATTAGTGTAGTTTTATAACCAATAATATTAATTCTTAAAGTACCAACAAGTTGTGTTATTTTTTAATTAGATATTAATCCTTATGATGATGATTATATTTTGGAGAAAGTTGTTGCTATTCAATCCCAATTAGCTAATGCCTTACATTGTGATTATAAATGGTTAAAATAAAGAGCTAAATGTTCTTGGCTTTCTGAGGGTAATAATAATGTTAAATTCTTATATAAAATAATTAAAATAATGGTTGTTGGAGTTATATTAAAGATATTTTTTTTAATCATTCCTTTTTTAATTCCCAAGATGATATTTTTGGTAAGACTATCTCTTGATTCTGTGAGGCTTTTAATGACCCTATTTTTAATTATATTTATAATCCTAATTGATACCATGTTAATCATATTTAACTTCTGAAGAGTTCTTTGATCTTATTATGAACTTTTTTAATGATGAGATTAAGCAAGCCTTTTTCTTTACTGGTTCCAATAAGACTTCTGGTCTAGATGGTTTCACTGCTAAATTTTTTAAACCCTTAGGATATTACTGTAGCTGATTGTATTTTAGTTGTTAAATATTTTTCTCTTACCTCTAATCTTTCTAATAGAATTAATCGTAAGACTATTACTCTCATTCCTAAAAAAAATCAGGTTCAAATTCTTTTTATTTCAAGCTGATTTTTCTTTGAAATATAATTTATAAGATTATTTCTAGCAATTTTGTCAATAGACTTAAAATTTTGCTTCCTTTTACTATTCGTCCTGCTCAAGCTACATTCACTTTTGTTCATGATTTTGTGGATAACATTGTTATGGCTAATGAACTTTTATTTGGCTTTAATTCTTTTAATGTTAATAAAATTATTTGTGTTAAAATTAACATTAAAAAAGCTTTTGATAATGTTAATTGCCAATTTATTCTTGAGAGATTTGCAAGTCTAGGTTTTCCTAATACTTTCACTAAGTGGCTTAAGGCTTGCATTTCTAATGTTAAGTTTTTTGTTATCATAAACAAGAAAATGAAGGGTTATTTTATCTCTTCCTCTGGTATCAGACAAGGATGTCCTCTTTCACCTTATCTTTTCACTATAGTGATGGATGTTTTTTCTTTTCTTTTGGATTTTCACCATTCTAATTTTATTATATCTAACCATATTCTTGATAGCTATAATAGTTCTTATCTTATTTATGCTTATGGTTTATTAGTTTTTTTTTGTAAAACTGATATTCAATCTATTAACAATTTGAATTGTATTGTTGATATTTTTTTCTAGTCTACTAAAGCTAATAAAGCTAAA